AAACACATGCATGTGTTGGTACATATTTGTTCATGCACGTGCTCTCTATTTACTTATGTTGTATTTAGTCGCTTATCTAGTCGTTTCTCTGTCTTGTTGTTTGTTTCATGCATTCATGTATCTATTCATGTGCGAGTTATCTATTGGCTTGTTTGTTTGATTATTTATCTATGTGCAAGTTTATCTACTTGTTTATATCTGTGTGTGTGTATTTGTGTGATTTGTTGTGTGTTTGTTGACTTGATTCATTGATTTGTGTGCCTGTCAGTCTACCTGCTTAACTATTCACGGGTGCATCTAATTATTGACTTGTGTATCCATCAGGCATCAACGTTGAGTGGATTGTTTGCTCTCGTGCTTGCGGCATCCTGCCAGACACAACCTCTCTTCAGCCTCAGCAAAAGCCAGGGCGTCTTTCTGCATCCTGTTTGGAAAAGAAGAAAAAGGAAGAAAAAACGGGGTCCCGCTCTCCGAGACTCTGCATATTCGCACATATGTTTTGCGCCAGGGATCCTGACTCCAACAGACTTGTTTACATTCTTACCTGCCTCGGCTGCTGCCTCCAACGCAAACATGTCAGATTCTGCGTCATACTAGACGTTGGCATAAGCCGGCAGAAGCTCCTTGTATTTCTTCATCGCTTCCGCATATTCCGCCTGGCGCGCGGAAGCATACTTTCAGGATCTCCAAGTATACATGGGGTCTAGTTTGAGATCCCATGGGTGAAATGTGATAACCCTGCGTGAGATCGTTTGCCGAAGCCTAGGTCCAATCATCGGAGTTTGCTTAGGGGTTCCCCAAGCTGCACTTTGACGGAATTTGCCTCTTGCGGGTGCTAACACACACACACACACTTACCAATACATCTCAGGGTTGATTTGTCGGTTGCTAGCACAAAACACGCCAGCAATCACCTTCAATTTTATATGCTCACTGATTTGCCACCCATTCACGGGGGGAAGAGCATGAAAGGTCTCGCATCCCTTCTGAAGGTCAAAGGAAGGCTAGTTGGGAAGCCTGGCTGCAGACCCCTTTCAAGGCACTACTATGTGACAACTTGGTCGGCGGAACGGCCTATCATTGGAAAGTTCCCAATATAGAATCCAGCGGGCTTCTTGACAGGATGGAAAAAGACATGCACTCAAATACGCTTTGCGCCTGCTCCAAGATGGAAAAGCATGGAAGCAAAAGTGACACATTCTTTTTGGAGCCAATCCGTCAACATCAGGCCAATGATCTTCACACATGTCTTGACTGTACCAGCCTGAGTTGAGAGATTGCGAAGCATCTGGGACCTTCATCATCCGAGGAATCACTTGCCGTGGTGTTCTTGGTCAAGTGTGGCAAAAGTGCTTGTTCTCATTGGAGTGCCTAGAGAAATGATGTTCTGAAGAGTTTTGTGAATCGAAATACATACCCGTACATGTCATCTGCATGCACACGCACAGGTACATGGACATGTCTGCCTGTAAATATCTGTTTGTCTGTCTGTCTGCCTGCCTGCCTGCCTGTCTGCGCATATGGATAGACATCGAACTGTGGACATACATAATTACTCATCCCTGGATTACTCCCGTAATACTTAATTGGCTGTAGGAACCTGTCATGTTGAGCTTACAATCTTTTGAATTCCATCCAAAAGCTTCACATCGCAAGACTTGGAATCAAGGACCAAGATCGGTCATTGACTGCTTCAGAAACGGATTGTGGAGCCTTATGCAGCCACACCAACAACCATAGGATTGTCACGCCAAGGAAAGTCAAGCTCCACCGGTACCCTCTTTCCAACACGGGGGCCCCCCGCAAGCAATATAGTCTCCCAAGCTTGTTGAAGGGAGGGCAAAAATTGCGCTGCTTGACTCACCGAGGATAGAATTTGCTGCATCTACCATCTAGCCCTTTTTGGATGGCACTAAAATTTGATGATACATGTACATGTACATATATATATATATGTATGTTACTAAATCTTGAATCAAACCAATTTACACATAATACACTATGCAAAAGCACATGTATACATATATATATATATAGATATATATATATATAGTATACAGTGAAATGATGTGTACATAAGTTGCATGAAATAATTTGTATATGGCTTATTGCGTCCACCAGAATCAAAAGCGATCCAAGCCAAAGAACAAGCCAAATTTAGACGTACTTACCAAATCCAGACATATATCAGACAATATATATATATATATGATATGCACTTATGGAAAACTCGAATCAAATTGGAAACTGGGCTCAAACTCAAATGCAATCACTCGGAAGTAGTCCGCTTTGTTGGCGGAATTGCTTGGGGTGTCACCTCATCCACGAGGGCAAATGATCCTCCAAGGAAAAATGAGGGCAGCGCGCATCATCCGCCCCAACTCCCCCAAGCACGGCTCGGCTAACGTGGCTCAATGTCAGCTTTGGATGACATTTGATTGGGAAACGACACGGGGGGGGCGGGTGTGGCATCACGGTCACCAGAAGGCCGGCTCGGCTCCTCAGACGAACGGCTAGCACACTTGAGCACACGATGCAACGTGCACTGCGCGGGCAGGCGGTTGCTGTCGACTTTGAATGCGACTGCGGGTGCAACAAGTGGGAGCGAAGCGGGGTGGGACTCCGGTCACTAAAGGGAAAACCCTCCCTCCACCCTTTAAGCCAATCATTGCAGAAGGAAATCTTGCACACACACACACACACACACACAACGCGCAACACAAAGCCACCTTCACTCTGGTTGAAACCAAGCACAAGAGTTTGACAAGGGCGAGTGATGCTGTTGGTGCATGTCAGAAAGAAGAAAAAAAAGCGAAGAGCAGTGTGGCAAGCGCCTAAGAAAAACCACAAAGAGCAAAAAGACGTTGCCCATGCAATAAGGCTACATCTGGTCCCAGAGTTCCACCATAGTCTATTAAATATACACATACACATTACATGACATTAACTGTATGTTTAAAACATGGTGCGATATAACTGTATGATATATGTGTATATCATAGAATATGTTCTATGGATTGGTGGTTCGCTCCTTTACAACAAAACAGCCTGTGCACGACAAAAAGAAAAACATTCACCTCTAACGTCCAGCTCTCTTTGAGGGGGTAGTCGAACATGGATAAACGATGTGTATAAATACAAAACTGTATATGTGGAAAAACATACACAAGCACATCTATAGAGAAAAAAATGTTGCATACAAATATGTAGATATTAATATGTATACATTCACTTATGTATATCAAAGAAGTAAGTCGGTAGCCGAAGTCGAAATCTCTCGCTGGCCTTCTCGGCTTCGTAGTTGCTTGCCCAGTCTCAGGGGTTTTGAGGATCGGAGTTGAAAAGCTTGGGATGCTCCATCTACCCCTGATGTTGACCCCATATCAATGAACCAGTTTATTAACCTGAGGGTTTTCCCCACCAAGATTCCCCACTAAACCCAGAACACCCCCTTTTCATAAACTGGGGTTGAAAAATATGGGGTCAGATGGACAAACCACGAAAGGAAACCATGGTTGAAACCATAAGGTTTGTTGGTATTTACGTTGGGGAATCGAATCATTCCAGAGATTCTTAGGTGGTGCAGGATTTGGTCCATCCACAGTAGGGGATCCCTTTAAAAGGAAATTGGTCCAAACCAGGACCCCCCGAACGTCAGGTTCCATGTCGATTGGTGGTAAACACAGGTGGGACGAACAAAGGCAAAGGGGATCGGTGAGCCATTGCCGCCGTTCACTTCCGTTTCGTGGCATACATTTCTCCCCAAACTACTCGCAAAAGGACACACCTGGTGGTGTTCTAACTGCAATCTGCAAGGCAGATTCAACCCAAACCCTCGCCAAATCGAAGGAAACGAAACGCTCTCCCAGGCTTGGGGGAGAGGGTTCTCCGCAAGTGTGGCCCTGGACGAAAGCTGCTGCTCCACAAGCCAGGTACTGGAAAAACTAAACCCGCCAGACCCATGACCATCAGGCATGCCGCGATAGGGAATCTCAGGCTTTGGTCTAACTTAAAGGAAACCACCAGTTGGATGCCTGTTTTTCAGGGTCGTTTCATTTCTCACTCCCTACATCTCTCGCACCCGCAAGAGGGAGAAAACAACTCAGGAAACCTCACATGGAGTCGGGCTTCCTGAACCAACGGCATCTGCGACAACCCGAGATCCGATGTTGCGGCCCCGATTCCTTCGATCCGGAGCCGAGGGGCGCTGCTTCTCGGCGTCGCTCTTGGCTCGCCACTCCGCCGCCCCGGCCTGGGTAACCTGGCGGCGTTCGGAGCTCACGAAACCGATGGATCTCGCTTCCAAGAAATCAGCTGGGCGAAGATCGCTTAGGAGTGCGGGGATTTTCCATCCAAAGGATGCACAGCAAGCTCGGAGCTGCCTGAGCCACTTGCTCAAAACCCGGTATTAAAATGATCGTGATCCCAGAACCATGTGAAGAATCAAGAAGGCGGAATTCCGCAGCTATTTGTGGTGGGGGTTGTCCCGTACGAACCTTCATCTACCCGGGTTAGCTGAGGATCTGTTACCTGAGGATCTGTTTATCATGGGTTAGTTAAAACAAAACGATGCAACAAGCTGTGAAGGCCCCTTTCATTTTGTCAGGGGGGGTCTGGCAAGGGCTGAGAGAAGTCCCGATTCTAGTGTCGCTGACCAATGGGCCTTGGTAGACCGAGAATCCTCTTCAAGGAAGACCAGGAGATTGTGAAACGCCAGGAAAAAAGTCCATTGTTCTGGGGTGGGTTCCCAACACAAGGTTTCAAAGTGAAAATGCGTCAAACCCTTTCGCAGCCATGCTGTTCAGTAGACTCAGGCGGTGGTATGTCATGAGCCTGGTTTCAGGGGCCGGGGATTGCTTGGGTTTTGGACATGCAATGCAAAGGTGACTTGTGCGAGTCGCAGTCCAAATTGCTTCTTTTTGTGCCTAGGAACCAAAACAACTGCTGGGGAAAACCAAACCTAGGGAAAACCAAACCAAGGGAAAACCAAACCCTGGCAAGCCAAACCAACTGAACGAAGAAAAAGAACCTGCGGGAAACCACCCGGCGCGCGCGCCAAGCGGGCCTCAACCATGGATCCCGTGGCCAACTTCCGGTACTCCTGCCAGGCACAAGCGGAGAATTGCGAGGCACCTGCCCCATGGCCGTTGACAAGGACACCACAGCTCGGGAATTCCCATGTCTGGGTAAACCCGAATCGAAGATTTGCAACAGAAGCCACGTTGGAGTTGGTCAAGGAACAAAAAGTATGACAAAATCGAAAGTCATTGATCAACCTCTGTTTCCCGGAAGAGTCACCCATCAGAAGCTGGCCAACCTCCTCTCCATTTTGCCACTCCCATTTCGTTCCGAACTCCCTGCATTTCCCCCTTTTCATTTTTCCCCCTTTGGAACAACTTCCTTTCAAATTGGAAGTAAAGCGAAGCATTGGACGGTCTCAAAGACTTGCAGCCCTCCCACCGCGAATTTTGCGACCGGCCTGCATGAACCGCATGTACGGCGACAGCGGCCGCGTGGGGCGCTCTGGGTCACGCTTCCAAGCGTCCTCGTCGCGATCAGGCCGAAGCCGGCCGAAAACACGGCTGATTTAGACACGGAAGTCATCGGAAGAAAAGGAAGCCACAATTCAAGAAACCATTCGGGTTGTCCTTCGGCGCCGATGAAACCAACTTTCTAGGACCAAGTTTGTCAGGACCAGGTGGCCTCTCTTGGAACTTGCTCTGACCAGCCAATCTTTGAGGAAACGCGCGTACTCAGTCGAAGGAGGAATTCCGGGGGGCTGTGAGTCATGATAGCACCGTTTGAGATGAAAACCATGGAATTGGAAACCCTTGCCAAAACAATTGCAAAACAGGAGAGAAAGACTCTCCGGGCCGACTTGAAATTGTGAGTGATTCGTTCTGAGGGGACCAACTCGAAGAGGACAGCGAACAAGAAACGGTTTTGTGTGTGTGTGTGTGCGTGCCCAAGCACGCAAGCAAGCAAGCAAGCAAGCAAGCAAGCAAGCAAGCAAGCAAGCAAGCAAGCAAGCAAGCAAGCAAGCAAGCAAGCAAGCAAGCAAGCAAGCAAGCAAGCAAGCAAGCAAGCAAGCAAGCAAGCAAGCAAGCAAGCAAGCAAGCAAGCAAGCAAGCAAGCAAGCAAGCAAGCAAGCAACCGAGCAACCAACCAAGAAAGAAGCCAAGCAAGACAGCAAGAAAGCAAGAAAGCGAGAAAGCAAGCAAGCAAGCAAGCAAGCAAGAAAGCAAGCAAGCGAGCAAGCCAGCAAGCGAGCAAGCAAGCGAAAGCAAGCAAGCAAGACAGGGTTAAAGAAAGACTGTGTGTAAACAACCGCGTGCGTGTGAGTGCGTGCATGCGTGTGTGCGGCTGCCTGCCTGGCTGCCTGCCTGCCTGTCCTTCTTGCTGGACTCCACATAGCTCTTCCTGACTGACCAAGATCTGCAACAACTCCCAACCCTGGTGTGTTCTCAGCGTTTTTGAGTCTAATCCAAAATGAGCAGAACCACGGAAAACATGAGCCAAGCATAGGGAAGACAAGCTTGGTTGAAACATTCAAGAGTCGAACCTGTGAGCCACGATGCTGGACTCGTTCCGAAAGAGGGCACGGAACGGGGTGTTTCCACTCCCAGAAAGCTGCCGCCAGACTGCCAAGCAATTGCCGGCTGCTTTTTGTGCAAAAACTCGCTTGTTGGTCAAGGCTTTCGGCTAAAAAACAATGTCACCGTTGTGGGTCCTGAGAAAGCCCAACTTCCGAACATTGAAGACGCCTGGTCAAAGCACGCGAAGCTCGAGGGTCAAATTTCCAGAAAGTGCTTCGGCGATTGGGTTGCCAGCTGACCAGCCACATCTACAAATGTTGGAAGTGGTGATTTTGTATCCCAACTGGTGCAGGATCAGCTTGCTTACGATTCTCAATGTACAAAATTGGGGCCGGCTCGATCTCCGGCAGGAAAAACTCAAAAAGAATCCTATTTGGAGTACCTGTGTCTCACCCGCCTTACACCCTGGCCGTCCATTTCTGCCATTGCCGGGTTGCAACCAGCAACCACCTGGGACCTAAAAGCGACCTAAAAGAGCAGTGCACTCTGTTCATCTTGCTGGCTCGATAGGCAGGGAACGAGAACCCTCCCCGATTTGCCCGGACTTGGACATTCCCTATCGCACCGGCAACTCAGGTTCCTCAATAGGTGTTTGCATATGAGCGCCGGCCTGAAACGCGTGAAAGGATCCGCGCGTGTTTCGAGATTGCACTTCATAGAGCTTGCGAAGCTCGCGCGGCCGACCAAAATCCGCTGGCTCTTAAAGTCGGTCCACCTGTCCTCCTGGGTTGTGAGCAGCAGCATTTGTTGCCCTGGGAATGGAGCCTACGCACCAAATCGGAAAAAACTTTGGGGGTGCAGATTGGCAAAGAAGCAAAGATGCTTTGAGACAGAGTGCGTGCTAGGCCCCAAACAGCCCTTCAGCTTTTGCTGCTCACACCAGCTTCTCTTGCCAAGAAGCATAGCTTCCGCGTACTTGCTTCTCGCCTCTTTCGCCGGCTCCTACGCAACAAAGCGCGAGCGGAGGGCGCTCTCTGCTCCAGTTCTCAGCCTCTCGATCAACGCGCTCGTATCCATGGATTCTTTGGATGCTTAGCGAAGGGGCGCAGTGTCCAGAAACCCCCCATGTGCACCAAATAAGCGACTACACAAAACGCCGAAACGCCACAACGAGCCATTGGACCATTGGAGCCTTAGCCTTCAAAGCCACAGCACCAAAGGAGAAAGCTCCGCCTTTTGTCGCGCTCAAGGCTTTGCGGCTTCAAGATAGGTATTCGCCCAAGCGACCTTGGAGCCCTTCTATGGAGCCCTTCAAGCGAAAGCCGCTGGGAAAGCCAACCCTTCGAGCTCCCAAAGTGAGCGAAAGGCCAGTCCTCGTATTTGGCCTTCATATCTGCAGCCATGGACTGCCTGGCACGTGAGGACCCCCCCAAAATATTTCTCAGCGCGGGTTCCCCCCCTTTCCAGCCGACGGGAGAAAATCCGAACGCAGGCTCCATTTGAACCTCGATTTGTCATTCACTCAAAGACCTCTTTTGGGTCAACGAACTGAGACCTCGATGACTAAAAACGCGGCGATCGAAAAAACGCGGCGCAGGGCGCCACTTCTGCGAGGCCGCCGACATGACCTCCGTCCCCTTCAGGCCACCGTTCTGCGCACGGAACTCCTGTCGCCGGCTTCGGGGGTGGGGAAACCTCAAAGATCCCACTGCATGGAGCCGAAAGCACGCAGCGCGTTCGGCGGCCGAGGTCTTTTGGGGATGGACCATTCAAGGGACATGGTTCAGGACCCCGGCAGCCCTCCTCCTTCTTTAAGTCGACAGGGAACAGACTACGGTGTCGCCATTTTCGCTTGGTGGTAGTCGGGGCTAGGGAAAACCAAGCGAAAACTGAGTGAAAACACTCGATTCCAAGAGTGCAAGCCGCCTGGATCCATCATTTTGGGCACGACAGAACACTGGGCATGTGTCAATAGAGGTCAATAGAGGTCCATGCTCGGTCAAGCAGTCCGTTGTTTAAGGCGAAGCCACGTAACAGGAAACGATTTGTTTGGCGGGCCTCAATGTAAGATGCTTCCGGATGAATCGGAGACGGGAACCTCCCGCACTGGAAGTAAAATGCAAGCCAAAACACTTGCTTCAAAAAGCAGGCTTTTAAAAATTGAGGGAGTCGTTCCAACAGTTGTGTGAAACGCGAGAAAAAGCTCGTCTGGCTCTCCAAGTCACTCTCCCGGATACCGTACATCAAAGTTAATTGGTGTAAGGCCAATCCTTAGGCTGGACTTGGATTTAAATGCGTCCCTTGTGAGAAATGTTCACCCCATCCCTCCAAAAGTGGTCTGATTCCCCACCAAACCCAGGAAAAACACCCCTTTGAATAAACTGGGATTTTAATTCACCTGGGGTCAACACCTTCATTCGGCGACATGTTCCACCGGAACAAAGCACCAAGCTTCGGCATCGTTTACTGGACAGGGTCGTGCTGATGATGTTGGAGGAGGTGTTTTACTGGTAAAGAGTCGCTCGGAGCGCCAAGTTTCTAAGAGAAACTGCCTCTGGCTTTTACAGCCACCGACCAACACATTGTTGCAATGGAAATTACCGCCCAAATTGACCATGTGGCCATGGGTCAAAACCCTGTAAACCCCCTGTGAACATCAAAACAGGTGGCTGAAAAAAGGACGTTCCACCCCAAAATGAGAACACTCAGGTTATGCAACCCATGGCTGCAACCCATGGAACCCATGTTTCTGCAAGGTGTCCGTTTCGCTTCCCGCCCGTTTTGCTTCCCCCAAGCTCCGCGGAAAAAAATCGATCGGACCTGCAGGAAGAGGATCCAGGAGGTGGCCGGGCGCAGCGGCCGCTCGGGGTCCCGCTTCGGCGGCAGGCGCCTCTCACCGCCCGCCCGACCGCCCGACGGACTCGACGTTGGGTGGTTGGTGAAGGGACCGGAAAGCCCCAGATGGACAAAGGGAAAAAAGAGGGCCCTGAACTTGGCTGGGTTGAAGGCCCAGATGGAAGGGAAAAACGAGGTGGCTGAGAACATGTGATTGAGTTGAAACACTCAGAAAGCTCCAATTCCATCACCCCCCACGCCTCCCTACCCCCCATGCTCATTGCGTGTCCTCTCTAATTTGTCACGGTCTCTCGGGTGGCAGAAGGGATCAGGCACGCAGGAACGTGACAGGCATCAGGTCAAGCGGGGTGTGGTGCGTCCTGAAGCATTGGGGCTCCAAACGTTGGTGCTGATCTTTGGTATTTACGTTGGGGAATCATCATTCGAGGGTTTCTTAGGTGGTGCAAGATTTTGGTCTCATGGAACATGGAACCCTGAGCACCTGTTGGTTTGCCTTGGGCCTTCCTTGAAACCAAGCCCTGAAAGCCGACAAAACTATGTCCCGCCGTTGCCTGTTGCATGTTACCCTCGAGGACGCTCCGTGAGTTTTCCCAAAAGCCTCCTGCAGAACTAAGATCAAAGCAGAGCAACGGCTGAGTGGATGTGTCTCTAAAGCAAAGGGGAAGCAAAGGGAAGTCTGTGAATAGATCCTGAGTTGGGATATGGGAACCAAAGTGGGAACCAAAGCACAAAAACAGACACCTCAGGAACTGAAGAGAATCTCTTGAGTCTGAAAGGGAAACCAAAGAACACACCTGGAAGACATTAAACAATTGGGAGCACCTGCACCTTGCAGGTCATTGTTTGCAACCGCCCTGGGAGCTTCTGCGGGTCCCCCACAGGATTTGCTCGAACCATGCTGCATTGGCATGGCTTCTTTCAAACGAAGACCAAGCGTCCTTGGCCGCAAGTTTGGCAACCTATCTTAGCTCCCTGAGCCTTATCAGAGACGCCCCAATCATTTTTTTCTCCCAAAACCCTGAGGCTTTTCTTCAAAGACCCGTCGATGTCAAAGTCAGAGTACGGGACAGTTGCACCAGCTCCAAAAGTGTAGCTAGGCTGTTGGTTCCTTCTGGCCACCGCAAAGCAAGAGCAACAGAAAACGGTTCTAAGAATGGAAGCTTGGACAAGTCACTGACTGACGGACAGATCCTGGGATTCAACTCAACAATAACATCTGAAGATGCCTAAAACCGGGCTGTCCTCCACCGCATTTGATCTGTCAGGCATGGATGGGAACCACAGACAATGCACTAAAAGAGAAGCATTTCATTGGTGGCCCAAGGGTGATGTGACAACCTCACCATAGCTGGTCTCCCTCGTGCCAAGCAGCGTGGCGAGCGGCCGTGCACAGGTCCATGGTGTGACCCAGCCTCTGCCAGGGGTGTGCTTTCACCCTCTGATTGGCACACTTGTGGTGGGAGGGCTTCTATGTTCGCAATAGGGTAGCTTTTGGAAGAACAACCCTGAGAGAAACAGAAACAGGAGACCTGTGGACTCAGTTCACTTCTGTCGCCTCTTGGTGGCTTGTTTGCTTGCATGTGGGAACGCACAAGGGAACCTTGGGCCAACATCTGCTGACTTGGACCTCGTCAGCGTTTCAAGGATCGATCCACTAACCAAATCCCACACCTTTCGGGGCTGCCAATGTCACAGGATGGTCCAAATGGTCCGACCAACTCGTGAGATCGCAGAATCAATCAGCACACCAAACCAATCACCCGAAATCCATTTCTCGGTCCAAAGGCTTACCCCAATCCAAGCTTCAATCCGATAGACAGGATGGATTAAACCAGTCACCCCCGGTTTTCTTGGGCTCCTGTGCTTCAAGGCATGCCGCTGGACATCCGTTGCTCCTGCCCAACCCGAAACGGTCCCGCTCAGCAAAGCCGGCCATGGAAGTTGATTGGGGGTACGACCCCCAAATTCCCTGCTATGGTGCTGTTCTGGGCGATAAGGTAACCACCAAAAAGGCATGAACAAGAATAACCCCCCCCCCCTTTTTCCGTGCTATACCAAACTAGGCCGTCCGCATGACTTGATCACTTTGAAAGGGGAAATGTCCCTCGGAGAAAGCAGCCCCAAAACCAAACTGCCCACAAATGTGCGACGATTCTGGACGTGTGCCTGAGCCAGGTCGCTTTGGCCGAACAAACGGAATGGCTCCAGTTCTGGGATCCATGCTCCGCACGAGGACAGAGGGCCTGCAGAGCGCAAGAAGCGGATCATCCATGACATGCATACGTCGACATGCATGCATGCGTATCTGTCTATATATATATATACACATACATATAGAGACTTGTGTGTGTATATGCCCAGACATGCACGTGTAAATATATATATATATATATATATATTCAAGTACTTATTGTGTTTCATATGTATGCATGCATGCCTGCATGTATGTATGTATGTATGTACGTACGTATGTATGTATGTATGTATGTATGTACGTATGTGTGTGTGTGTACGTGTATCTGCATGCATGTGCACATGTGTTTATGTGTGCATGTATGCACGCATGCATGTTCAGGTGTATGCTTGTATGATTAAGAACAACAAGGGATTTGCCCGGAGTCTAGTGCCTGAAGTATGGTCACATTGTCTCTCGCAATCTGGGCATGTCAAACTGTGACTTGCAATCCACCAAAAAAACAATCCTGCCACAAGGTCGAACCAATCGTTTGCTTCCCGTAAGAAACCCAAACAGCCGCTTCTCAGCCAAATCAAGCCTTGCAACCTGTTGAACGTAATTTCGCGACAGGTACATTCCCGCAGCAATTACGACATCGGCCTCAATCCAGGGCAAAATAGATAAATCACGAACACAAACTACAAACTGGGCTGTTCAAAATGGAGGGGTGGCCAATGAAAGAAGCCTACAAAGGGGCCGGTTCCTTGCGTAAGGATTAAGGAGTAAGGATTCCCTTTCAACTGCCCAGAAAAAGGCAATGTTTCCTCCAATTCTCATGTAACCCACCCATTTGCAGGCGATACTTCCGACTCCAGGCCTTGCCAGGAACATCATGCGCGACCCGGGCAACGAGGGGGTTTGGCCAATGTCTCTTGGTCCAAAAAAACAAAGATTGCGGCCCCGACACCCGAATCACCGTGGAATCGTGAGGAAGAAGTCAAAAGCGTTTTCTCGGCAAGAACGTTGAAACCAGCGCCCGGGGAAAGTGAGCCGGCAAAATTATGGGCACGAAGAATCTCAAGGAATGTAAGACACGCAATGCTGACAAAAGGCGACCCAAATTCGCGCCAGCGAGAACGATCCAATGAAGCCAAAAAGCGCCGCAGGGACTTGACTTTCGACAATTCGCGCGAAAAGATCATGGGACCAGCAAAGGTGCGCAAAGGGCTCGCCTTTGAGGCTGCAGTGTCGAGAGCGCCCCGATAATTTCCAAGCCCCGAAGTGCACCAATCTGGACTCGCAAAACCTGCCCCCAGATCCCGTGAGCATGAAAGGATGCCCGACAGAACCTCTGTGGGCCGCCCGCAACATGTAGGAACGAACCCAAGCTATTACTGTTAGAAACCTGTTCACTGCTTCATGCCTGTGACCGACGCAGAAGAACGCTCAGTTTCTTTTTTCTGATGTTGCAGGTGCAGGCTCTGGGATGCAGATAAGTCAACATGCGTGTTCGACTTATGAATACTGAATCCCATGCGGAGCCTGAGGATCTACCCCCCAACCAACATGTGTGTTCGGACAGCGTGAGACTGGTACTCACATGGGGCGCGAAACTTGGCGGTGACACGATGAGTCAAAGTAGATCTGCAAGTGAAGAAACGATGTGCATGCACACATGGGGTGGCTGCACCCAGGCACTGGTCACTATAGGTCAGCCTCAGTGACAAAATGGGTGGGTGGGTCGGCTTCAGAAAAGGGTGCCCCTGTTGGACCAGCGCGGTCCTACCTAAAACATGCCGTGCAGGCGTGATAAACTGTTGCTATCTGCTTTGCCCTTTGAAGATGCTCCCTTTGCTGCTCCCTTGTGCGATTTCCAGCGTCCTTGCCAATGTCGCCTTTGCCTTTTCCTTTGCCTTTGGGACATGTTCCTTTCATCACGCTTGCCTTTGCCCTTGCCCTTGCAACAAAGCGAGAGTTGTAGACCTGCTATTAGGAACAAGATCAGCGTTCAACTGCCGATATGTTTCATAACCGTTATGGTCGTTGATGCTTGAGGATTTGACATCCTCGCTCATGCAAAGGACCTGCTAAAATCGCGTGGAGTCTGCTACGCCTAGCTGTAGCTTCGTCAAAATCGTTTAAAGACATGGCCGACGTCTGCGTTCGAACCGTTGCCAACTCCGCGACAAAAGAAGAACCAATTGCACCCAAATATCGTTCCAACTCCCAGAACCATGATCTCCAACCCGAAAGCTCCTCGTTGCGGCTCTTAGCCGTGAGCTTCTCCGGCTGCTTCAAAAGCTTAGTCACGTCACTCACACGTAGCCCTTGGCCGGGTCGTTCTGAAAGCCTTGCATTGCACGCGAACTGACATGCGCGTCCTCCACAGCTGCCTGCGCAACTGCTTGGACATTCGCAAGCCATGTGTTCAGATCTGCTTGTGGGTTCTGAGCTTGTGTGGCTTGGGCTTGAGGGGAACCTGGCTGACCGGCCTGCATAAATACCAGTTGCAAATAAAATACAACGAACTGTATTCAGGACACAATCGAATTAACCAGAGTAGCTGTGCTACTATGCGAACATTTTTGATCACCACAGCCTGCAGCGAATCTCAGTCATTGCTGATGCACGCGCAACGCCTTACATGTTTCACGTGCTGCAAGTTAGAAACATGTTCACTGCTTCAAGCCTACCAAGGACATGTTAGAAGCAAGAAGCCATGTGACGGACGAGCGAGCTATGCATTGCTCAGAAGTGCAGGCGCGCTGCGCGGGGTGAAATCCTGCGGTCTGAAACGCACTCTTTGCTTTGGCCTGGATGCAAATGAGGCCAGGTTGCCTCGGCTCAACTGGTCGGCCCAAATATTGCGCTCACCAGAAATGTGTGAGGCAATCACGGACCACTTGTATTTGTGGGCCCATGCTGCAACCAGATGCACAAAGATCTGAAGCGGCCAGGACGTAGTAAACAACTTGTTTGCTCCCGCTTTTGTGGGTATGCACACGCTATGCGTGGTTGTGCCCTTCCGCCATCCAAGCAACGCGCATCAGCGAGAATTGCGCCAAAGCTTCGAAACATGTTGTGTATCGCTAATTCCTTGGTTAGACAGGCCATTGAGCTTCGACTTCGAAGAACTGCCGGTAACAACAAAACCCAAACACAGAGACGTTTTTTCTCACTCGAGCTGTAATACTATAAAGCCCTGCAAGTCCATGATGTATTATCATGACAACCACAAACGCAACTTGTTGCTAAATACGGTTGAATTGGTTCACAAATGCTAGTCACCCCGCCTTTTGCGAAGTGAACAAAGTGAGCGAAACACTAGCCTCACATATCTTGCATTGAGCTCTCATGGCTCAACTCCAAAACAAGTGTAGCTTCCTGACCCAAGGTTATCAAAGCTCACGTTTTAATTGCGTTGGGGCTGCTTGACACGTTGTGAAAAACATGCAAATTGAAATCGCATATCTCATGCTCAGCTAATTTCCACATGGGCTGCAAAGCTAGTCCATTTCATCTGACTCATCATCCAGAAACGCACGGGTTCGCATCTGCATTCCCTCAATGTCTGCATTGATAAACCATTCGTAATTGATCTCACTTTGCAAGTCGAGATCTTCTTCTGTTGCTTCCTCTACGTTTCCAGACTCTCGCAAATCCGCGCCCCAAGGTGAATCTGTTCTGCTCTGTCGCGCTGCTCTGGCAATGTCATCATTGATTGCACTCACTATCAATTATTTGCCACCTGATGTCAAAGTCCCACCAGGCCCAAGTCGAAACGCCGGACCCAAAAATATTCCAGCCTCACCTCGCACACATCATCATGTTGATCTATCCGTTGTTGTTGCAATGCTGCAATCTCATGTTGGACGGAGTAGGTGGAGCAGTGCTCTTCGAGGTGCGCCACCTCATACTGGAGCCGCTGGAGGCGCCAACAAGCTGCCGTCGCGGGCGCGCTGCTGGCCTACCGGACGGGCCGGACCAGAACGTTTTCACCACACGAGATCACCTCGGCGCTGGTGGCGTATCGCTCGGCGGCCAACCAGGACACAGCGACGCTGCAGCCCTGCTCAGCTACTACACCATCGCGCAGGTGCACGGCCTCCTGACCGGCAAGCTCGAGTCACAGAGGCAGCGTGCTTGAACTTGCGCGCACAGTAGACGGTCTTGGAAGACTCCAATAGTGTGTGTCACGGGGCAGTGGAAAGGCAGTGAGAAGGCAGTAGCCGAGCTGTATTCCAGAGTTCGTGTGCACAAACATGAAAATACACACACTCACCGTGGGAAGTAGTGGAGGGAGGCTGCCCAGCCAGCTTAGATTGCCCGGCTCCGGAGCAACTTGCACAGACCAGTTTGGACGCTCAGTCTGCCAGAGGCCCTCCTGGCTGCCTTTTGTGGGTTTTTGACGGCTTTTGACGCTGCAGCAGCAGCAGTGGACTGTGGCAGCGACAGCAGCAGCGGCAGCGGACTGCGGCGCGCGAGCGCAAACAGAGAACAGCGCGCCTCTCTCTTGGACTAGTGGCACTTTCCGCCGACAGCAGCTAAGAAGCGATTAGCTTCCAGCGAGCTTCCCTTCTCTATCTTCGCCCCATACGCTCGAGACCTCACTCTCAGTTCCTCCCCCCACACACTCGCCAGCCCTCTCTCTCCGAATGTCCACATCATGCACTAATACACCACCCCCCCTTCCTTCGAGACTACCTTTCGCTCTGCCCCTCTTCCCCCTTCCCTGCGCTCTGTCTTCTTAGTACCTCCCGTCTTCCAATCTTCTCCCCTTCCCTCATCTTCTACCCCACGCCATTCCCCCTCCTCTGTCCTACTTCTCTTTAGAGGGATTCTCCAAACGGGTTTTGATGCAGCTGAGGGGGTTCTGACACTCGTCCGTCCAGGAAACGACCTCGATCTGCGAAGAAACCAACAGCTACTACATCAACCCCTCGATATGCGGTTGGGCAAGTTGCCCCGTAGCTGCCTTTGCTTCTGCAAGGCGAGCTCCCTTTTTTTTGGGAACCCTCGGTCGTCGGTCGTCGTTGGTCGGTCGTTCGGTCGTCGTCGTCGCTCGGTCGTCGTCATCGTCGTCGGCCGTCGATCGAAAAGCCTTTTTTCCCTGAAATTAGCTCGCCTTGCAGAAACGCAGCTAGTAGGGGCAAATTGCAAGCATATCGAGGGGTCGATATAGCGCAGGCACGGGGCTCCCTGCAGCACTTTAGCTGGACAAGGTCGTTTCCTGGACGGACAAATTTTAGAACCCCCTCAGCTGCATTACAACCCGTTTGGAGAATCCCTTGTAAAGAGAGAGCCGCGGAGGCCCGTAGAGTCCCCGCCCCGGCTCAACGTGGATGAGCTGTTCAACGTTTTGATCCTTGCCCGCAGGTGAGGCGAGCCGCAGCTCGTGCTCTTACAGACAATGCGTGCTCCAGGCACACTGCATGTCTGCCTTCAATGACACGTGTTCAACGTGACCCGAGCCGCAGCTCCATCACGGCCGGCGCCTAAGCCAACTTGCGCCGCAGTTGCTATCATGCAGAGGCGGTGCGTGGCAACTGCGTGACATTGCTCACCAACCCCAGTAACACGAACCGCAGCTCGTGCCCCGAGGTGCTGCGCGCACGCATCCGCAGACGCCTTGCGTTGTGTACCGCCTCCGAGACGGATCTTTCCGCCTCCAGCCCAGTGACCGCCTCTCCTGGGAATAGAAAAATCCCGAGACGGATCTTTCCGCCTCCAGCCCAGTGACCGCCTCTCCTGGGAACAAGAAATTTTCGAGACGGATATTTCCATCTCCTGGCAATAGGAAATTCCCCGAGACGGATCTTTCCGCCTCCAACCCAGTGACCGCCTCTCCTGGGAATAGAAAAAATCCCGAGACGGATCTTTCCACCTCCAGCCCAGTGACCGCCTCTCCTGGGAACAAGAAATTTTCGAGACG